TACAAATAACATAACAATAACATTGATTTTCAATAATCTAAATTTAAAAAAAACATAACCCGAAAAAAAGAAACGTCAAAAAATCAATTCTTCTTCTTCTTCTCAACTAAAATTATAGATCAAGTGGTTTTAAAACTAAAATATTATAACGTGGCGCCATCTATCGTAAGAATCTTATACTAAACACACTGGCAACCATAGAAAAAGCTGGCAACGTTGTCAATAGCCTAGTGACGTAATTAGGAGATATTTTTTTGTAAATATCTCGAAAACGGTAAACTCAATTGAAATTTCACAGAAATGTTTAAAATTACAAAACGCCTTGAATAAAACCATAAAAAGTATAGGTCAGAAAAAATTTAACTACCCCATTAGTACAGGAGTTGAAAACCCAACCTAAAGATACCTTTTTATTTGTAAGTATATTTCCAGAACTGATCACAACCAAGTAAAATAATTTTGTAGTTTTAAAAATGCCTCCCAAATGCCCCCATAAAGAAAACAGAGTGAAGGTTTGCGCTCCTTGTGGTACAAAAATCATTTTTGGAAAGAAAAAAGCAGCAGACTATCGTATAACTGAAAAATGTGAATCATTAATAAAACGTTTTATGAATCCTGATTTTAAAGCATCTGATTTAAAATGTCCATCGAGCATTTGTACAACATGTCGTTTGATCCTTTTTGAGCACGAAAAGCAACAAACCCGAAAACCTTTACCGAAAATGCCCAATTACACAGATATAATTTTACCAGCAACAACACGCTTAAATAAAAGTGACCAATGTAATTGTTACATTTGTTTAACCGGAAGATCCAGCATACATCCTAAAACTCAGAAAGGCCGAGGTCATTCTAAAGATATATCTATAACTGAATATGAAGAAGACAAAAAAACTTTAAAAACTTCATTAACTTTATGTAATGCTTGTTATCAAGAAGTGGGCAAAGGTAAAATACATTCTTGTGGAACTCTAGTAACGGCTCGTAAAAATGTTATAAAAATAGTTGAAAATCTTCCGGAAATACAACAAGAGCAAATTGCAACTTCTGTTATAAAAAGAAAAATTGACGCTGAAAAAAAAACTGATTTAACCATAAGCACTCTTGGTAAAAAACTAAGAATCTCAGTAAACGAAAAAGAACGCAAAGAAGCTACATTTACTGTCGAGCGACTGGACAGTTATCAGGTCAGTACAGGTGTTTCAAACAATCAGATGAAAAAAATGACTAACTTTATTAGAAGTAATATTGGTAGATATGCGGTACCCAAAGAATACCTAACTCATATTTCTAAAACAGCAAAAACTTTGGAAAATGTTTATCATGAGGGCGTTTTTAAATTTGATGTTGAACATAAATCAACTAAAGAAGAAAGGCCTGTCATTTGGGCTGATGCTCAAGAACTACTGGATAATGTTGTGGAATACCGAAATTTGATTGGACATTGCAATGTGAAAATAACAGCGGATGGTGGGCAAGGATTTCTTAAAGTTTGCATGTCTGTTTTTCCAAGAAAATCAAATATAGAAGAGATAGACCCAGAATCGAATGAGATAGACTCCCAACCTAAAAAACGTACTTTGTATTCTGAAGGGGGTACTTGCAGTAATCAAAATAAACTATCCAGTGTTAGTAAGTTAATAATGGTTTGCATTGTGCCACAAATCAAAGAAACTTACGAAAATATTCAATTATTGTTTGATCTGGTAAAACTAAATCAAATTTCGTTTAAGTGTGTTTCAGACTTTAAGTTACTTTTAATGGTTAATGGACAACAAACAGCAACATCTACCTTTCCGTGTCCATACTGTTTTATATCCTTAAATAAACTAAGAATGTACAATGACCATGATATTTTAAGAAACAAACAAGACAATAAATCGTATAATACAGCCCAAGATGAATCAATAAAAAATAATCTTAAAACTACGGTGATTTAAAAAAGGATTATCAACAATTTTTGAATTTAAACAAAGATAAAAAATTCGCAAAACAATGTCACAGTACCATAAATCCACCGCTTTTTGAAGAAAACCAGAGCGTTTCTGTGATTGAAAAATGTGTTATTCCTGAGTTACATGTGCTGCAAGGGTTTGTAAACCATTTATTTTGGAATGGAATAGTTGCTCTTGTTGGAAGAGAACAAGCACTGAAATGGCCTGAAAATATTAATGTTGTCTCAAAGCATTACCAGGGAGACATTTTTGAGGGAAATTCTTGCCGAAAGCTAATTAAGGAAGCCGATAAACTAATGGACAGTGAGATTACCAAAAATGTTGGTCCTTTAGCACTCGTTCCATTTGTGTCGGCCTTTAAGGCTATGGACAAAATTGTCCAGGCATCTTTTTCGACTGAAAAACTGTATGAAAATAAATTAGAAAAATATATTAATGACCTAAACACTGCTTTTAAAGCTACAGGAGTATCCCAAACTTTGAAAATTCATGTTCTTCTTAGTCATCTAAGAGAAAGTTTAAGTATTTTGGAAGATGGGTTAGGTTTGTGGTCGGAGCAATCTGGAGAGTCAGCTCACAGAGAATTTTTAAAACACTGGGAAAAGTACAAAGTAAATTCCTTTGCGCATAAGTCTTATTTATCAAGGTTAAAAATGGCAGTTGTGGAATTTTCTTCACTCCATCTCTAAAATTTTGTAATTTTTGGTAAAATTTCAAATTATTTTTGTTTATTTTCTTTGTCGCGTAGTTAAAAATAAATTTATTTCGTATTTTTCTTTTTTTTATTCGTATTTTTATGGATTTTTTTATTTTTAATGTAGTAGACATATGTATCTAAGTCCAGTTGCAACTGGGTTTTAAAAAAACGCACACACATTAACCGCGAAGAGTACAAAAACGCATTATAGCATTATAGCTTGCCTGAGGGAACGCGATAGGATGTTCGAACTGTTAAAATTCGAAAAAATTAAATAACTCAAAAAACCAAGCAAATAGGATTTTGATGTAAACATATCTGAAAACTAGAAAAAAAGCAGAACAAAACCCTTTGAACAGATTTTTTCGTGATTTTTGTTATACTTATCGCGCCTTTAAGAACACCGTGCCTACTTGAAGTACAAAATATAGTATAAAATTCAGGCTGTAGGTTCTCAGCATTTATAAGTAATAAATAATCGGTACATAAAACAAAAAATACACGTGTTGCCACTATGCTTTTTGAAAAAAAAAAAAAAAAACAAATGTTGACATCTGTTGCAATGAATGATTTATTATAAATTAATTTTTACCTTACATACACATGTCTAGCTGGTGGAAACTAAATTATATAAGGTCTCTTGCTATCTCATTTTTATTACTCTCTCTCTCTCTTACTACTCTCTCTATGTTAAATACTAATTTAAAAGTTCTAAAAATTAAAATATTTGTTAAGTAAATAAAAAAAGTTAAATGGTGTTAAATAACTCCAAGATGTTTAGTATATAAATGTATTGCATTCATAAAAATATTTTATATAATTCAATAATGATAGACGCCTAATATTGGATAGTTGCCCAATTTTGGACCTATTAACAGTTTTCTGTAATTGGGATCAAAAAACTAAATGTTTCTAACACAAAACAATCTTGTTTAAATCATATAGTTGTTTACTACTAGTTGGCACCATATGATTAGATGTTTATTTGTTTCTCCGGCTAAAAACTGTTATAAGAAAGTAAGTATAGGAGAGTTAAATTTGGCACAGGTGTACTGGAATAGTTGTAGAATAGGCTCAAGTATTTGAATCAAACACTTCTGTCAAGGGTAACATTTGTTTTAATCACATAAACTTGGACATAAAGGTTGCTCTGGAATTTCTTTAGTCATCATCCCAATCGATCTTTGTAGGAAATTTCATAAAAAAGAATAAAAGGTTTACTCCAAAAAATATCAACCATTTTTTTGATATTCTAAAACCAGTTATGTAGAAGATACATTTCTAATGTCTTAGAGACTATAATGTTGACAAAACCGGTATCATCACTATCCAATCCAAAATTGGAAGGAAAAAAATGAAGTAGGTGCTGTCACTGCTGCAAAAAAGGAGCACCAGTATACGTGGTTTTATGCCTAAATGCCACCAGAGGACACGTTCCTCCGTTTCTTGTATTTCCACGGAAAAATAAAGGCCGAGCCACATCTTTACGCGATGAATATTACAATTTGTCAACCACGTAAAATCTTCAAAACAAGATACTCTGTTGCTAATTTTTGACGGCCATTACAGCTATACACGGAAAGTAAACGACGCGTCGCGACGCGTCGCCTCGCGACGTTCAGTGGGCGTTATATATTGACAAAATCAAATTAATGGTTATTAAAACAGCCTTAAATTAATTTGAGCAAATAAAATTGAAAACAATATTTTTTAATGTTTAATTTAAAATAATAACAATAATAATAATAATAATAATAACAAATTTAAAAAAAAAACAACTTAAAAAGCACTGCAGCTAAACCACATTTAATTAAGGCAAATAGCACTATTTATTTTAATAATTTTAATGGTTATGGTAGTTTTTCCGTAAAAAAAACTATTTATATTATTTAGTAAAAAATTTTAAATGTTTACAATCGTTTATTGTTCTTTATACATAACTAATTAGATCAATGTTCAAGGAAAACTAGTCTTCTTTAGTTACAATATAATTTTTCGGAATTGATACACCTACCCAATTAAATATTTAAATACATTGACGCAATTTAACTTAATTGTTAATTTGAGTTGAACATTTCCCACAAACACTGTGAGACAAAATTTGTACATGTATAATTTATGAAATCACTTCTAGATTCAACTAAACCAGTCCAAGTCCAAATAAACAAGCTGAATCTCGCTTTTTCATAAATAATAATACTTACTGCCAATGATTTATCTTTATTTTTTTTATATAGATACCATTGTTATTTATGAATAAAGGCCTTTATTAATATTACTATTAAATATTTACTAAGTAATACAAATATGCAGTGTGTTCGGTAAATAAAAATTTAAAATCTTAAACATAATAATTATTTATTGAAAACAATAGGTTTATAAAAGGTAAAACTATAACTTGACTAACTCGCTAAAAAGTAATTTGTCCATAAAAGCTTGCAAAATCAGGTTCAAGACGGATCCGATGGCCTCCCCAATACCATCCGCCAAATCTTTTATTACAGTTTCCCATTCATCGTTTAGAATTTTATTTGTAGCTGCACCTAAAGTTAAATTAATTAAAACTTCCACTCTTACAAGTATTCATACTTACTTAATTCCGCGTTTCCATTAACTACATTTTTCAAATCAAATTTGGCTTTCTTTAGTTTAAATTGAGTGCAATGGTCTTTGATTTTGGCATATTGAGCACCATTTTTATCATATAAATCGTAGTTAAATGTCCAAGTATATAAACCTTCCTCTATAAAAAAAAGTTAATACCTACATTGTTAATACGAAATAATTATAAATTACCAACAACAACTGAAGCTATATCTGATGCGTTAATTGTAAGAACCAAAATTTTACCATAAGCCATGTAGTCACCATAAAGTTCCGTGCGGGGATAAAAGAAAACCACTTTGCCAGATTTCTTGACTGGGTTAAATCTATTAAAATATAAAATTATAACCATTTTAAATTTTTAAGTTAATGTAAGTTGCACTTACTCAACTGATGTAATTTTAATATCAGGTATTCCTTTTACTTGTAGGTTACTAAAAACAATGTGTAATCCTCCATTACTACTTAAGTCAACTTTTGGCAAGAGCAAAGGATTAAGTGTTGGGATTTTAAATTGCGGATCCCCTAAAATAATTATTGAATAAAAGAATAACAATTTCCAATGAGTTACCTATAAAAAATACTATAATATAAATATTAAAAACACCGTTCCTTAAATAAGATGCCAAATACGTTTTGCTTATTTGTATTTCTAAATAGTATTTAGAAAATATCCTTTAAATTATTTACATAAATATTAGCAAAAAAAAAGTTAAAAACTTGTCAGTACTGGTTACTTGTGTTAAAAACAAAAATAAAATAGATTAAAAAAAGCCAATTTTACTCACGGTACAAATACCTATTAAATACCGTGTTTCTTTTTCTATAATACAATAGACATAATTTTAGGGGTTGTGCTAATAAAATAAACATAATATTTAATAATTTTTAATCTCTTGAATTAAACTAAAAAACTAATTAACTTTAAAGTTAAAATTTTAAATTACGAAAATTTGAAAATTTTTAGATTACAAGTCCTTTTACATAAAGTATCACTTGCAAAGGGTCGAGGGCAAAAAAATTGTTTATGGTAAAAGCAATATGTTTTTATAAATTTGCCATATAAGTTTTTAAACAACTCTTTATCTTTTAAAGTATAAATATTTTGTTATTATATAAAATAAAGATTGATAAATTTAAAAGATGTTTTTGTTGTTTATTGAAAAAAATACACGCACGTTTTTTTTAAACACCGAAAGGTGTAAGTAAAATCAAAAACACGAATTAGTGTTAATTAGTTTATTATATGTAGACCAGGCGGAGAATAAATTTCACTACCGAGGCGATAGCCGCCGTGTTTTATATTAGTACTATTTTTTTTCAAGCATTTAATTACGAGAAAATTATAAATATTTTTTTCAAGCGTACATTAACTTTCATATTATACTTAGGGCCGGTTTATCAATGTCCAGTTAAAGTTTCAGTTAGTTATCTGGTATATAATTTCCATGGATACCATTGTTCTCACAACGATCGATATGGAATTTAACTATCAGATAGACTAACTGGAACCTAACCAGAGATTGATAAACCGGCCCTTATATATCTGTATAGAAAGACTATATTAATACTAGTTCAAAAGTTAAACTCCATACAGAAATAAAGCTAAAATGTCAGTTGAAGCTAACCTAAAAATTATGTGATAGAATCTTAAAAAATTATTTAATTAAAAAACCGTATCACGATGTGTTGTGTTGTTGGGTGTTTTTCGAGAGGAAATCCTGAGTTGAGTTTTTACCGTTTTCCCAATAAACATTGGAAATCCGAATGAAGAAATAAATTGAATAAAGTTCCTGTAAATATAATTGTACCTATTAGATACAAAAATTGTAAACATTTCAATTCAGTTAAAATCATAAAACAAATAAGTCGTCTAAATTCATACAGCATTTAGCGTTATTAAAAGCGTTGATTAAGAAGTCTCCACTCAACAGTAAAATACCAAGAACCGGTATTATAATATGTATCATAAATAATATTATTTTGCCATGAATTCGTAAGTACATATATTTTGTCGTTTAAAATGCAGTTGTCATATATAAAAATATTAGATTTTAATGTTATGATGGTACAACAATTATTTTTTGTTTAATTTCTTAAAAATGTTTAAACTTAAATATAAATTATATTACGTTAAGTTATCATAAGTTAATTCTGCGCCAACAAATATACGAACCGAATTGGATCCCTTGGCAAAACATTAAAATGGATGATTTAGTTCTTGAATTTTATTTACAATTAAAATCACAATAATTTTCCATGATCACATAGATAAAATACACACACAAGTTTGATAAAAGGCATTTTAGTCACAAGTTATTATTATTAAATAATTTAAAAAAACTCAAACTCAAAATGGTTTAACCTCTTTCTAGTCGTTTTTGACGATTGTATGACATTTGACAAGTTTACTAACTTCAGTCCAAAATCTATTGTTGCTAACTTCAGCCAGGCATAAAGTCACACCTTGTCATTGTGTATTTAAAAGAACACTTGGCATCATGAAAACATGTAAAAATATAAATTTTAAATTTAAATATTTTCAATTTGTCGATAATTTTGACACATATTTTCTTAAACAAAAACCTATTTTCTTCACTACAATTTTTTAAGCTTACCATTTAAGATTGATTTAAGGACACTTTGTGCATGGTCAGTCAAACATTTTTTATCGGAAATTTGGCATGGTTCAAGGTATGATGCTAAAAAAATAATCGATTAAAAAGCACAATAATTAACAGAAACAACAAACTTACGAAGCACTGCTGCTAAACCACAACTGAATAGAGCAAATAGTACAGTTAACTTTAACATGTTTAATCATTATAATCAAAGTGCTTTCCCACATCGGGATATTTATACTATCTACACTAGGGTGATTCAAAAAAAGCCTTTTTTTAAAAATGAACCCGCACTGGCCTAAATTATAAAGATTACATTAAAACTAAAATATTGATACCAAAAAATCCAAATTCGATGAATATTTAGAGGTCGCTCAAATCGATTTTCGTATTTTTGCACATTCGAGCCGCGAAATTATTACTGCACAAAATAGTAAATAACTCCGTTAGTTTTTAATCGATATTATTAAAAATTTAAGGGTTACCTAGTTTTTTAATACCCTCTGAGACAATGTATTGAACTAAACAGAAAAAAAAAATTTTTTTATGAAAAAAAATAATTTGTTAATAAAAACGTATCATCTTATAAAATAAGCAACAATTGGAATCGCACTATGATGGTACCGTAAAAAAACTAAGAAAATAACACTTAAATTATTTAGCATACAGAAAACCTGCCGAAAGAAATATTTTATTTGATTTATATAAAATATAACCTAAAAATAATTAACTAATTTAGATTTTTCCCATTTTCAAACGATTTTATAAATAATTTATATCCGTTTTATTAATTATGACGTATTTTTATAATATTTCTTTATTTTTGATACCATATTTAATTAATTACACTAGGTAGTTATTAAATTAGGTCCTTTTTACAACAAAAATAAAATAACGTTAACTACAAAATTATTCACTGCATTGATATGGCTTAAGCAGAAATTTAAATTTTATTAAAATTATTGACATACAACAATTCTCAAATTTTGATACCAAAATTATTTGATTCTGTCTAGATGTTGCTAAATTGACATACCACAATAATAATTATTATTCTTAAATTTTGATAGTAGGACCTACTACCAGGTAGTTGATAAATTATATAAATATAAATATATATATATATATATACAATGTATATTATACATATATATATATATTATTATTTACTTAATTCAAAAGCGTCTAAGTACCAGATGGACGAACAAAGCTATATACTCTCTAAAGATTTTCTTATTTCGGGATAAATTTAAACTCACTAAAAATGAAAATAAGTCATTGCGTAGAATTTCTATTTTTATTATTTCGTTTACATATATGAATATATTTGCCTGGTTCCAAGCTCCAAATGCAACTTGCGCGCCCAAAAATGATTTGAAAACACTTCAAGAACTTCATGTTTACAAAAATATAGATTTGCAAATAGAAGAGCTAATTTGTTTGGCATTTTTTGATAAAAGAGTACCTACTGAAACAAAAGAAAAAATGGTTGAAAAAATTAACATTAGAAACAATCATTGCAAAGAAAAAGATGTAGAGCAGTGGATTTTTTTATTTTAATTATAAAAAGGACATAAATTAATAACTTCTTAGTGTAATTAATTAAATATGGTATCAAAAATAAAGAAACTTTATAAAAATACGTCATAATTAATAAAACGGATATAAATTATTTATAAAATTGTATGAAAATGGGAAAAATTTGAATAACTTAATTATTATTAGGTTATGTTTTATATAAATCAAATAAAATATTTCTTTCGGCAGGTTTTATGTATGCTAAATAATTTAAGTGTTATTTTCTTAGTTTTTTTACGGCACCGTAATAGTGCGATTCCAATTGTTGCTTATTTTATAAGATGATACGTTTTTATTAACAAATTATTTTTTTTTTCATGAAAAAAATTTTTTTTCCGTAAAGTTTAATTCACTGTCTCAGAGGAAATTAAAAAACTAGGTAACCCTTAAATTTTTAATAATATCGAACAAAAATTAACGGAGTTATTTACTATTTTACGCAGTACTAATTTCGCGGCTCGAATGTGCAAAAATACGAAAATCGATTTAAGCGACCTCTAAATATTCATCGAATTTGGATTTTTTAGTATTATTCTTTTAGTTTTAATGTAATCTTTATAATTTAGGCCAGTGCGGGTTCATTTTTAAAAAAAGGCTTTTTTTGAATCACCCTAATCTACACTGTAGATTCTACAGTTGTAAAACTGCCTGGCAACCATGACTTTTTTAGTCTAAATTTCTAGGAATACTTTTGAAGTTTTAGAACTTTAATTACTTATTAAATAAATTTTATGTAAATAAAATTTGTTTAAAAATAATATAATGTGAACATACATATATCAAAACAAGATAATGTACCATTTTGGGTTTGTAAGTGATATTGGTTGTTTCAAAAATATACAGGGTGCCCCAAGTATCCTTCTCTTAATAAGTAAGGTGGGGGTTAAGGATAAACCAAAGATTAGGTATATTTAAAACAATAGTTTTATTTTAACTCTAGTATGCAGGCGCAGTAGTTTTCAGATGATTTGATCCATCCATTTGATTCAAATGCTCGACATTTTCGGCGTAGAAAGTCTTACTTTATCAGTGTGCTCTTGACACACATTTTTTTTATATCCACTTTAAATTTCTAAAAAAAAAAAATATAAACGAATTCGTATTTCATTTCAAATAATTTTTGTATTTATACATAGCTACTTTTACCACGAGAGAAACGAGACGAGACGAGAGAAAGGCACTCTCGAGCGAGAAAAGAGTATTCTCGACTAGACGAGAGACCCATTTTCTCTCGCTGCACGAGACGAGACGAGAGAAGGACTTTTCTCGCCTCGTCTCTTCTCGCGGCATCACTAGGAATAACATATTATCTTTAATTGTATACATGAATGTATGTATTACGTTAATCTAGTAAAACATTTTTGTTTGTTTTTAAACTTTAGATAGATGGCCATTGACTCTGACAAAAAGATATGTTTGATCTATCAACCATGGTTTCTCTAAAAATATACAGTGCATCTAAAAAAGGGCCAGACCAACCACAAGACACTTCCACTAAAAAAGTCATGTAACATTTAAAATTTAGCGCGAAGTAGAAATGTATTTGACGTACCGAGTGCCGAAGGCAAATATAGTTTGACGTGGATTAGACCTACAGGAAATACCGCAATAAATAAACAAACCTGAGAGCCTAGTAAGAAAAAGCACCGAGCTTTATTTTTTTTAATGTAGAATATTAAAAAGTACAAAATGTTAATTATAATAATTTATATAAAATATACCATTTGCGAAATATTTGCAAAAAAAACAAAAGATAAGAAAATTTTTTTTATTTTAACAGACTAAATATTTTTTACAAAAATTATGGAAAATATTATAAAAAATAACTTTGCTTTTTTACTTTTTATTGTGCAACACACAAGATATTCGCTTAAAAAACTAAAAAAATTATTTTTGCTTAAATATTTTTAAGAAAAAATGGTCAAATTACAAATTAGGTCCCCTATCGATTCATAAAGAAACAAACAGTGCATATGCACGCAAGGTCAAGCCATTAACTAAAGACATTGGCTTTATCAGAGATGTTTTTAATTAACGAATATCTTATAACATGACAATATGAAATCAATGTTTTTGTATGCACTTGCTGTTAACATTTACAACACAGGTTAGCAATCATAAACGATAACAGCATATGTGTAGTATTTTACTCGGCAAACAGCCGATAAATCATTCTAAAACCCTATAAAGTATACTTATTTGTATAAGTAAAAAGAAAATCAAATGTGTGCTCATTACTGCTTACATAATAATATTTTAATAATATTTTGATATTTTTATTATATGTCCTGGTTAATTATAATTAAATTAATCATATAAATCCACTTAAAATTTAATTAGTTGGTTCAAAGGTATTTTATGCATAAACTCTCCAAGGATTCTTGCAAATACGCTCCCGATAATTCCGTTAATTCCAGGTGACATTTCTTCTAGGACAGCTTCCCATTCCGTGTTAAGAATTTCATTGGTTGATTTCGCTAAAAGCAATTATCCTATTAAAACTCACATTTTAGTGCCAGTGCACATATATTTGAATATGAAGGTGTAATAAGTGCAAAAAAGAAAAGTGAAGTTATTAACTAAAGTTTTTGCTATATACAAAAATCTGGATACTTGTTTCAATGTTTGCATTAATCAACATGCAGAACTTATACAATTTTCACGTTATGAAAATAAAAAATAAAAATTTAGACTCCAAACTACCCAATTCTGCACTTAACTTAATATTATGCTAAAATGCACTTTTACCCTTTTGCTTCTTACCCCTTCATATCGTCGTTTATCTGACAAAGAGGCGTAACTCAAAAAAATTCGTTTTTGAGTTATACCAGAATGATCACCAAAATCGACTTTATAATCTCACAAACTGGCGTAGCTCTATAATAAATAGGTACAAATAAAGTTTTAGCATAAATCAGTTTCGGCGTAACTAATATTTTTGCATTTTGTGTGCCGTACAAACTGGCGTAATTCAATTCACACCGTTTTGTTTAAAAATGAGATACGCCTCTTTGTCAGATAAACGACGATATGTAATTTTTTTAATTTATCTGGTGTACCAAGGTTTCCAAATATCCTCACAATTCTGGATTTTTGTTGCTTTCATTCTTAGGTAAGATTAGACCGAATTAAAATTGTTTATATATTTCTTAATGCAGCGTTTAAGCAGTTAAACATCTACTTAAATAACCAATTTCAGAATAAAATACAGAAAATCATGAGAACAAAAAAATGAATTTAAAGATTTTTTATGTTTTATTATTATATCTTTTACACTCTGTAAATAAACTTAACATTTATATGACTCATAACTGAGTTTGAGTGGGTTTAGGGAACAACAGTTTCCTTATGTTAAATACAGTAGGTACTTAAATAATTAAATAAAAGTATATCCCAGCGGATGTATTACGTTATTTTGACTAAAATGACATTAATGAAACTAACTTTGGTATGAATTTATATTTAAACGACATGCGTAAATGCAAGTTTGCAAGTTTTTCATT